ATGTATGTATCATATTATGTGTATCCATTCCTCAGTTGATGGACATTTGGGCTTATTTACTTTTTGACTATTATGAATAAGGCTACTTTACATTGATGTGCAAGACTTTTTGTGGAAATATGTTTCATTTCTCTTGGGCAATATGTTGGAGTGGAATTGCTGGGTCATATGGCAAATTTGAAGTCACCTGGATGGTGCAAGCAGTTTGGGATAGGCTGCTAACCTGAAGGTTGATAGTTCAAACCCACCCAGCAGCTCCACAGAAGAAAGGCCTGGCAAACTGCTTCCGTAAAGATTACAGCCAAGAAAACCCTATGGACAAGTTCTAAACTTTAATACATGGGGTTGCCATGAGTCAAGGGCTGACTCTACAGTAGTTAACAACAAAACGGCAAATTTGTAGTTAACATTGTAAGAAATTGTCTCACCAATGTCAACATTGTCAAAGTGGCTGAATCATTTTACATTCCCAGCAGCAACGTCAGAGGGTCTGGTTTCTCAACATCCTTGCCAACACTGAGTGTCTTAGTCATCTAGTGCTGCAGTAACAGAAATACCACAAGTGGACGGTTTTAATGAAGAGAAGTTTATTTCCTCATAGTCAAAGTAGGCTAGAAGTCCAAATTCAGGGCATCAGCTCCAGAGGAAGTCTTTTTCTCTCTGTTGGCCTTCTTCTCTTCAGTGTTCCCCCAGACTAGGAGCTTCTCAGCACAGGCACCCCGGTCCAAAGGACGTGCTCTGCTCCTGGCACTGCTTTCTTGATAGTATGAGGTCCCTCTGTCTCACTGCTCACTTCTGTCTTTTATATCTCAAGAGATTGCTTCAGGACACAATCCAGTCTTGTAGATCAGGTCCTGCCTTACTAACACAACTGCCACCCATCCTCCCTCATTAACATCATAGAGGCAGGATTTACAACATACAGGAAAATCACACAGTACCAGGAATCATGGCCTAGCCAAACTGATACACACATTTTTGGGGGGACATAATTCAAACCATGACACCCAGTTTGATTATAGCCATTCTTCTGGGTATGAAATAGCACCTCATTGTAATTTTAGTTTGCATTCCCCTAATGACTAAGGAAAAGGTCCCTGGGTGGCACAAACAGTTTGTGCTGGACGACCAACCTAAAGATTAGCGGTTCTACAGTACTGGGGAAGCCAGCACAACTTGTACAAGGAAAGGTCATGGAAGCTCCATACAGACATCCAAATTCCCTGAGGGACTGAATTGCTGGGCAGAGGGCTGTGCGACCATCGTCTTGGGGAACATCTAGCTCAATTGGCATAACATAGTTTATAAAGAAAATGTTCTACATTCTACCTTGGTGAGCAGCGTCGGGGGTCTTAAAAGCCTGTGAACAGCCATCTAAGATATTCTACTGGTCTCACCCCTTCAGAAGCAAGGGAAAATGAAGAAAAACTAGATATAAGGGAAAGATTAGTCCAAAGGACTAATGGACCACAACTACCACGGCCTCTACCAGACTGCGTCAAGTACTACTAGATGGTGCCCGGCTACTACCACTGACTGCTCTGACTGGGATCACGACAGAGGGTCCTGGACAGAGCTAGAGAAAAATGTAGAACAAAATTCAAACTCACAAAAAAAGACCAGACTTACTGGCCTGACAGAGACTGGAGAAACCTGAGAGTATGGCCCCCGGACACCTTCTAAGCTCGGTAATGAAGTCACTCCCGAGGTTTACTGTTAACCAAAGATTAGACAGCCCCATAAAACTAAATGAGACTAATGGGGTACAACAGTCCAGGGACAAGGACTAGAAGGCAGGAGGGGACAGGAAAGCTGGTAATAGGGAACCCAAGGTTGAGAAGGGGCAGTGTTGACATGTTGTGGGGTTGTTAACCCTTGTCATAAAATAATATGTGTACTGTTTAATGAGAAACTATTTTATTCTGTAAACCTTCATCTAAAGTATAATTTAAAAAAAGGAAAAAATAAAAACATGTATAATCACCAAAAAAAATGGTTAAAATAGTAAAAATTTTTGTAATATATAGTTTACGACAATAAAATTACTTTAAAAAAAAAAAAGATTGGCAGTTCAAACCCACGCAGTGGCACCACAGAAGAAAGGCCTGGTGATCTCCTTCCATAAAAATTCTTGTTGTTATTGTTGATGTTAGCTACCATCAAGTCAGTTCCAACTCGTAGTGGCCTTATGTGTAACAGAACACAATGTTGCCCAATCCTGCACCATTCTCACAATTGTTACTGTGTTTGAGCCCACTGCTGCAGCCACCATTATCAATCCATCTGGTTGAGGATCTTCCTCTTTTTCACTGACCCGCTATTTTACCAAGCATGATATCGTTCTAGAGGGTTTGGACCCTCCTGATAACATGTCCAAAGTATGTGAGATGAAGACTCACCATCCTGACCTCTAAGGAGCATTCTGGCTGGACTTCTTCGAAGACAGATTAGTTTGTTCTTCTGGCAGCCCATAGTATATTCAATATTCTTCACCAACACCATAATTCAAATGCACCAATTCTTTAGTCTTCCTTGTTCATTGTCCAGTTTTTGCATGCATATGAGGTGACTGAAATTACCATGGCTTGGTGGTCAGGTGTACCATGTCCTCAGAGTGACATCTTTGCTTTTCAACATTTTAAAGAGATCTTCTGGAGCAGATTTGCCCAATGCAATACCTCATTTGATTTCTTGACTGCTACTTCCATGGGCATTGATTGTGAATCCAAGTAAAATGAAATTCTTGACAACTTCAATATTTCTCCATTTATCAAGATGTTGCTTTTTGGTCCAGTTGTGAGGATTTTCATTTTCTTTATGCTGAGGTGTGGTCCCTACTGAAGGCTGTAGTCTTTGATCTTCAGTAAGTGCTTCAACTCCTCTTGACTTTCGGCAAGCAAGGTTGTGTTATCTGCATATCGCAGGTTGTTAATGAGTCTTCCTCCAATCCTGATGCTGCATTCTTCATAAAGATTACAGCCACGAAAACCCTATGGAGCAGTTCTACTCTGTAACACACATGAGGTTGCCATGGGTCTGACCTGAGTCAACAGGATTTTTTCTTTTTTTTTTTAAATGACTGAGAAGTGCCCCTTCCTGGTTTGCCTGCCCTCTGGATTTCACCTTCTTAAGGACCTGCCTCCAACAACTACCTCTCTCTACTGATCCCATTCCATCGGTAGATAAATAACGGTTGTGTCCTGTCCATCTTACAAGCTAAACCAAAACAGCCCTCTTGTGTATAAAACAAGCCCTCTTGTGTACCGTTTCCCCTTTGTTCATATTCACCTCTCTAGAATTTCACTAATAGAAAGAGCATTTGTTTTTCCTAAAGAAATTATTATACCCCATAAAAACTCCAATTCCAAGGATAAACCAGTTGCCAGTGAATCAATTCTAACTCAAAGTGACCACATGTGTGTGTCAGAGTTGAAGTGTGCTCCATAGGATTTTCAATGGCTGCTTTTTCAGAAGTAGATAACCAGGCCTTTCTTCCCAGGCACCGCTGGGTGGTAGACTCAACCACCAACCTTTCATTTAGCAGCAGAGATCATTAATCATTTTCCCCACCCAGGGACTACTCCAATTCCAGGGGCAGGTATCAATTATTATCAGCTTTAGTTTTTCCTATGAGGATGCTTTCCATGTGATCTAGTTTTCTAATTCAATTACAACCGTCCTTTACTTTCACTTCTCTATCTAGATGCTTCAAAGTTACCCTTGAGATTTTTGCTTGAATACCACATGGGTATCTTTTTCGACACAGAACAATGTTCATATCAGGAACAAAAAGCAAAACTGAGTGTCTATATCAGAATCTTCAGTTCAGTTTAATAATTAATCCTCATCAAATACATAACATTGACAGATGAAAGGCCCTTATTCAACAAAGCTGGAAAATATTTGCAACAGACAATGAAAATAAAATATTCCTTCGAGAGAGAAAGCTATTTCTGAAGTCTCATCCATCAATGCGGTAGTAATGAGAATTCAAATTCTCAAGTTTCACTTTCTAAACCTACTGAATCTTCCCTCTAGCCATGCAAGCACTTTTAATGAAACTTTCTTCTGCCTCATCATGAACTCCAGTCCTTTCAACCTCTCCCTATTATCACATTCGAATCTTGTTAAATATTAAAAGATATTTGTGGTAGGCAGAATTCTAAGATGGTCCCCAAGATTCCTGCCCCCGCTGTACACGTCCTGTACAATTCCCTTGAATGTGAATGGGACCAGTGAATATGATAGGCTATCACTCCTATAATGAGGTTATTAATCAGTTGACTTTGGGTTAATCAAAAGGGACACTGTCTGGTGTGTGTGGGGTAGGCCTGACCTAGTCAGGTGAGCCCTTTTTTAAAAAGGTAAAGAGAGATAAACTCTTCCTGGTCTCAAAGATGAAGCAAACCGCCGTTTTTTGAGAGGAGAGGGCCACTTGGCAAGGACCTGAGTTCAGCGCCTCTAGGAGCCAGAGTGATCCCTAGCTGATAGCTAGCAAGAAAATGGGGCCTCAGTCTGTTAGCCCCAAAGCAATAAATTCCACCAACAACTAGTAAGCTTGAAGAGGACCTCCAGCAACAGATGAGATCACAGCCCCAGGTGACAACTTGATTTCAAACTGGTAAGACCCTGAGCAGAGAACCCACCTAAACGAATCCAGACTCCTGGCCCAGGAAACTGTGAGATGACAACTTTGTGTTGTTTTAAGCTACTAAATTTGTGGCAATTTTTACACAAAAATAGATAACTAATATGATTATTTAAAACATGATATCCTCACCTCCTTTTGTATCACTTCTAAAAATGTTAATCAGATAATAAAGTTTCAGCACGAATATTTTCAGGAAAGGGAGGAAAGGACTAGAAGCCAACAAGAGCATCAACGGCATTTATTACATGATTACAACCTAGCTTGACACCACTATTGAGGCATGGCTAAATTAAAATTCCCTAATCCTTTTACAATTCTGGCATTGATGCTAATGTGAATGCTACAGTACCTCTATCCTCTAGTGGGTTGCCAGCAAGGTTAATCGTGTGGAGTCCTGAGTTGGGATTATGTGCTAGAGCACTAGCCAGTTTTTGTGCGAAATCTCTGCAAGTAAACAAAACAATAAGATTAAATAACACAAAATGTAAAACTGTTGAAATAAAAAAATAAGAGAGAAATCTTCCTTACAATGTTAGTCTGTATCATACATTTATTAACACCCAATCTAAATTGCACAAGTATATTTCCTCATAAGAAAATCTGGAAAGCCAAAGGGACCAAAATCCCATTCAAAAGCAAAAAGAAAATATGTAATTGCCCGTTTTAAGAAACTGTCCAACCATTTTTACAAACTGGCTGAATGCTGTTAAATAATACTACTTGGCACCTCCAAAGTTAAAAAAAAAAAATCCTGAATTGAACCTGTTTTTCAGGAAAATTACAGTAGGCTATTCACTGTATCTTAGTTCTTATTTCATGCAATACCCATGAATGCAAAACTGATTGATCTAATTATTGAGTTTAAAGGTTACAATTGCTGGCACTGTATTTTAATAAAAATCAAAATCACTGTTTTAGTTATGTTTAACTTGAAATAACACACTTAAGTGCTATGACTACTAAACTGTCAACCCTCCTCAGTCAGTAGCAGGAAAGCCTTTGTTCTAGGGGATTCAAACACTTATGCCCTGAGTTAAGGCTTGACTAGTGACTATGTAAGTGTTAATTTGAAAAAGGGAGAGAAAGACTAAAGCAGATCGAAGCAAAGCAGCAAAATCATATAAACTATGTTAAGACTACAACTACCATTGATGATAACAATAATAATAGCTAACACATACCACCCACCACATGAAAGACACTTTTCTAAGCACTTCACATATATTAATTCATTTATTCTGACAACTATAAGATAGGCACTATAATTATTTCCATTTTAAAGACAGGGACTGAGGCACTATAATTATTTCCATTTTAAAGACAGGGACTGAGGCACCAAAAAAAAAAAAAAAAAAAAAAATTCCACTGCCATCGAGTTCATTCCAACTCATAGCGACCCTACTGGACAGAGCAGAACTGCCGCATAGGGTTTCCAAGGTTGTAAATCTTGACGGAAGCAGACGGCCACATCTTTCTCCCGAGGAGAGGCTGGTGCGTTCGAACCACCGCCATTTATGCTAGCAGCCGAGCACTTAACTGATGTGCCACCAGGGCTCCTAAGCACTGAATAGTTAGTCTATAAAACCAAATATTTCAAACCTGTTGCCGTCGAGACTATTCCAACTCATGGTGACCCCATATGTTACAGAGTGGAACTGCCTCATAGCGTTTTCTAGGCTGTAGTTTTTACAGAATCAGATCATCAGCCCTTTCTTTTGCAACTGAGGCACAGAGGGCTTAAAAGCCTGCCCAAGGTCATAAGGCCTCTGCCTTCAGGATCCACACTCTTAGCTACTACACCATGTACCCTCAAAAATACTAATTGACACAACAGCAAAAGATGTCATTAAATTTGTGACATCATGATAATGATGCGGCTCCTAAGGTATTTTTTTGGTTCAGAAAGGAAAACGCTATAGTCTATATATGAGTAGCCTAACTTTTTTTTTTTAACTATGTATTGATTGAAGATTAAATTCTTCAAACTTTTAAAGCTACTGTATTTTTTTCACAAATAATGCATCCACATAAATAATGTGCATGCACATATAACACGCAGACTGCGCATAGAAAAATAATACATAAGGGGGCTACATGTTTGGCCAAAAAATGTATAATACGCACATTATTTGCATAAAATTACTGTGTGTGTATTCAGGAAAATACTCACGTTCTAAGTCCAGCATTTTCCAACACCAATTCTTCCAGTCGACTGGACCTACTCACCACCCTCAAGATCTGTTCACAGACATCGGTGGACTGTAATAGAAAACACTCTTTGACCATTCCATAAGGCTAAAGAAAAAAAAAAATCTCACTTGATTTTTATAAATCTATGCAGATGCAAAGTTTTAATTAAATAAAACATTCATTCATGCATTCGTTCATTCAACAGACCTTGACTGAGCATGTACTACTATGTACCATCACTATGAAGATCCTGAGAATACAATGACATAAAGGACAAAGTCCCTGCCTCCAAAAGCATAGCATCCAGCAGGGGAAAGTAGATAAGAAGTAAATACGTAGTTATGATAAAATTATAAAAAGGCCATTTTGATGGTGCTATGGCCACACATTGTCTGACTTGCTTGCTTTGGACATAACATCAAGAGGACTCGATAGCTGGAGGAGGACATCATAAAGGGCCAGTGAGGGCATGGGAGACCCTCAATGAGATGAACTGGCACAACAGCCAGAATGATGGATTTGAACATACTGGCAATTGTGACGATGACGTAGGACCTGGCAACTTTTGTTCTGTTGTACATAAGGTCACCATGAGTCGGAGTCTACTTGATGGCAGCTAACAGCAACCAGCACACAGGGGGGCATCTTACTCAGTCTTGAGAAAAATCAAAAAGGGCTTCCCAGAGAAAGTGACATCTAAAATGGAGAAATGAAGACTAAGAAGAAGTGATAATGATAATGGTGTCAATGATGAAGATATCTTTACTGAGCTCTTGCCATGTGCCAGGCACTGAGCTAAGTCCTTTACCTGCACTTATTTTTTAATCCTCCCCAATATAAAACATTAGTTAAGTATTATTATTCCCTTTTTATAGCTAAGAAAATTACAATTTAAAGACGTCATGTAACTTAATAAGGAGGCTGAATAAGCAGTCGATAAATGTTAACTACCATTCTGACATTCCCACTAGTATTCTCTAAAATAGGTAAAGTGAGAAAAAAACTAATGACCTAATGACAGGAAAGAGTTAAATAAATGATGGTTTCTTGTGTTAATAAAAACTCCGATTTTTAATAAGGAGCCCTGGTGGTACAGTGGGTAAAGTGCTGGCTGCTAACCAAAAGGTCAGCAGTTCAAACCCACTAACCAGTCTGTGGGAGAATGATATGGCAGTCTGCTGCAGTGAAGAGTACAGCCTTGGAAACCCTGTGGGGCATTTCTACTCTGTCCTATAGGGTCAGTATGAGTCCAAATCGACTTGATGGCAATGTGATTTTTGTGTTAAAAGATATTTTAAAAAAAAATTATGTAGCTATAAAAGTCTGTGGAAATGCTTTAAATGCTTAGGATATCATGTTAAATAAAAAATCATAATTAAAATGAAATGTTCATTAAAATTACAATTAAAAGTGACAAATACAAGTAACCAAAGTCTTGAGGGGGCTATGAAAAATGAAGAGTTGCCCTGGGGTAGAATTGTGTGTCATTTCTTTTCTTTCCAAATTTTATTTATTAATGGTTTCATAATTATTTATATCCCACCTTATTCAAAAACTAATTTAAGGTGACTCCTGACATCATATTCGAACATGCCTGTCTACTGTAGGCTTAGCATTATGTTGACTGATTTAGGAAGATAAAAAAGTTGAATATGGGGGCTCTCAAGGAGCTCACATTTAGTTAAACTCAAATGTGTACAACAAAAACTAAAGAAGGATGGCTTTAAACTAATGAGTGACCTAGTGCAAAATAAAATATGGAATTTTAGAACTAAAAGGAAGCATATACACTATCTGATACAACCACATCACTTTAAAAAGGTTGAAAAAAGGTACAACACTGTTTACTGACTTGCCTAAGCTACAAAACTGAAAAAAGTTGAGCAAGATCCTCATTCTACTGCTATTTTAATGAATCAAGAATGTTGGACAGAAACTTGATCCTAATCACAGATTTGACATCTTAAAAAAAAAAAATCTGATATTCAAATTAGGAATAGTGAGCACCAAAAAAAAAATAATGGCTTCAAAAGCTTAGCATAAAGCATGTAATTCATATTTTTCCTGTGGTACTCTAGCACAGGAGGTTTTATTGGGCTAGGAGCAATCTTAACAACACAGAGGGCTCATACAGTGTGGGAGGAATCCATATTTTTTTGTCATGCCCTCCATGTTTTAAGAATCCAAAGAAGGTGTGCTTCCTAATGTTGACTTCTCCTTCAAATAGAACATGTTTGAAAATATTTTGAGATAGTCCTATTACAATACCCAGCAAAGGGGAAGTAACATCTCATTTTTCATTTTGGGTGGAAAATACAAAGATTACTATTCTTTTCAAAGACCTGTAGCATAATATGCCAAAGATCATTTTTCATTTTAAAATACCAAATATTAAAAACATACACACATGCATTTTTACTTTGAAACCTCAGGTAATAAAAGAGCAATAAGGGCAGTCCTCGAATCCTATCCCTCCACACCCTTCTCTCTCTAGACACCCACGAAAGCATATGAGCACTGTCATGGTCTGTATTGCCAGCACTAAAATGATTAGGTTCATCATATTCTCTTTCCTAAACACCTAAGGAAGTTGAAAGAAGATGGTGTCAGGGAGGGAAAATGACCGAATGGCAGCACCAATTGTCCAGACACATTCATGAAGACAACTTCCAAAGCCAGGATCTCCAAAACCTCCTCCACAGGGTTCTCTTGGGGTCCCATTTTGAAAATCACCAGTTTAGGTGAATGTTTAAATTGGCCAGGAAAACTGAGCTAGGAGAGAAGTTTTGTGCTCTATGATTCCTCAATCCCTGGGCTAATCTACCTCATTCGTAGAGTGACTCCCCTGGTCCACATGCTAGCCCTGCTCTGGAAATGGTCCTCGTCCTAGTGAAGAGCAAATAAGTGGTTTTTGTTCCCAGGCCTCCCATCATGGCGACCTTTCTGTTCCCTGGGGACTGACTTGGCTCCCATCCGAGCTGTCCCTACCTCCATCTCACTGATCTTGTATATTACATCTGCTTAGCCAATATAATTTCCATAACTCACACTCCATACTTGTTCATTTTCAAGCCTCTTTGCTAGTCTGACTGTAGTGATGATAATAATAGCAGTTACCAATTATGAAATGCCTGCTTATGTCAGGTACTGGGCTAGAAGATTCTACACACTAATTAATCATCTCAACAACCTGAAAATTAGTTATATTGTAATATTCATTCATTCATTCATTCAACAAACTTATTTGATATCTATTTCTATTTATTAAACAGGTCCCTGGGCGGTGCAAACGGTTTGAACTTGACTACTAACCTAAAAAGGAGCCCTGGTGGCACAAGGGTTAAGCACTCAGCTGCTAACCAAAAGGTCAGTTGGTTCAAACCCACCAGTCACTCCACAGGGGAAAGATGTGGCAGTTCGCTTCTATAAAGATTACAGCTTTGGAAGTCTACGGGGCAGTTCTACCCTGTCCAGTAAGGTCACTATGAGTTGCAATCAACTCTACAGAAATGAGCTATTACACAATTTTTTGTTGAGCAACTACTATAAACCATGTTGTTGTTGTTGTGTGCCATAAAGTTGATCTCTGATTCATAGCAACCCTACAGGATAGAGTAGAACTGCTCCATAGAGCCTCCTAGGCTGTAAATCTTTACAGGAGCAGATTGCCAAGACTTTTCTCCCGTAGCTGGTGGGTTCGAACCACCAACCTTTTGGTTAGCAGCTGAGCGCTTCACCACTGCGCAATCAGGGCTCTTACTATAAACCATATACTCTGATAAAGCGCTAAAGAGATGAATGAATCATGGGCTCTGTTATGAATTGAATTGTATCCCTCCAAAAAATGTGTGTCAACTTGGCTAGTCCATGATTCTCAGTATTGTATGATTGTCCACCATTTTGTCATCTGATGTGATTTTCCTATGTGTTGTAAATCCTAACTTTAAGAAGTTAATGAGGCAGGACTCAACCTACAAGATTAGGTTGTATCTTAAGCCAGTATCTTTTGAGATATAAAAGAGAGAAGCAAGCAGAGAGACATGGGGATTTCATACCACCAAAAAACAAGAGCCAGGAGAATAGCATGTCCTTTGGACCCAGAGTTCCTGCGCTGAATTGGACCCAGAGTTCCTGCGCTGAGAAGCAAAGCCTTTTTTGACAGAGAAAGAAAGCCTTTCCCTGGAGCTAGTATCCTGAATTCTGACATCTAGCCTACTAGACCGTGAGAGAATAAATTCCTGTGTGTTAAAGCCATCCACTTGTGGTATATATGCTATAGCAGCACTAGATAACTAAGATAGGCTCCAACTAGCTCACAGTAATAGATGCCCAGAAGTCTCTGGGTGGTGCAGTTAAGCAACTGACTACTAGCCAAAAGGTTGGTGATTTGAACCCACCCAGAGGCACCTCAGAAGACAGGCCTGATGATCTGCTTCCAAAAGGTGACAGCCTTGAAAACCCTATAGAGCAGTTCTACTCTGTACACATGTTGCCATGAGTCAAAATCGAATTGACAACAATTAACAACAACAAAACTGAAGCCCAGAGAGGTTAAGTACTTTTCAAGGTCACACAGCCTTGCAATAAGAGCCAGAATCTGAACCCAGGTTTCTGATTCCAAATCCATGCTCTTTTCACTATACCACATTGACTCCTAACAGGCCCCAAATGAGATCAGCCCATGTTAATACTGATGGTAGCTTAAGCCACAATCCCGGGCAAATTCAGCGAACCAGCAGTCCATCCACCAGCCAATTATAACCCTCCACTTCCTACAATCGATGTCTCAATCCAAATCCCAACTTTTCACTGTGATGCTTCAACTCCCAGATTCTATGGCCTCTGAAAGCAGAAGCCTTGACTATAAGAGTCTCTATAAAACAACATCTAAGTTATTTCCCGCTCTAAAATGAAACAGGAGAAAGCTAATTCATGGATAAGCATCTGCCCATATGGCTGCTCTGAACTTGCAAAATCCCCACCAGAGCATCTTATTTCCACTAGTAAAACAGGACAAATATATGGCTCCTTCATCTCTTATGAAAACTAACAGATATCACGGTTGTTTCATTTTGCTTACCCATAAATCTGCCAAAAAAGCTCATCTAGAAAATTAATGTTAACTACCAGAACTCAACCAAACCATGTCTAGTAGTGTTTTCCTAAATACTTGTGGGGGGGCTGGGGTGGGGGGGGTACATGGGGGGACTTTGTGGAGATGGAACGCAAGAAAGGAACATAAAATCTCCTATTTGCAGCTGTGCAATTGTAAATTTAATCATTTTTGCCAACTGAGTGTGTAGTGAAGGCTACACTGAATCTATCTTGCTGTTCATCTTCTTAAATTGCCCAAAGCAGCTGAAAACATAAGGAAGTACTTCCCTGAAGCATCTCACATTAAAAACTTTTCAAAGTTTTATGCAAATCATTTATAGAAAAATGTCTCCTCAAGAAATAAAATGTGTGCATCTCACGAGTATGATGGAAAAACAAGTGTTGCTTTTTTTTTTTTTAAATCAGGTTTTTTGAAATTCAGCAAAGCCAAGCAACACTTGCTGTATCCTCAATTACTTACCAGTTTTAGATCCTTAGAGGACAGCTTTGTGAACCACTGATTGTATTCCAGAGCACCAATGATGGGTATTAGGTCCCTAGAAGAAGAAATAACAGAGGTCATGAAACTGGTCCAGCAATAGCCATACCAGCACTTTATTTTTAATTCATGCCATCCAGGTTTACATGTTCCTATCTATTATTTACAACCACAGTATGCAGCCAAAGCTACTTGGACCACTAGATAACAAGTCAATTCCCTAAGACAGATCTTCAGGAGCCCTGGTGGTACAATGGTTAAGCTCTCAGCTGCTAAACAAAAGGTTAGCGATTTGAATCCACCAGTTACTCTACATGGCAATCTGCTTCCATAAAGATTTACAGGCATAGGAAACCCTATGGGGGTAGTTACAGGGTCACTATTGACTCAATGGCATACAACAAGAACACAAGACAGATCTTCAGTAAAATGTAAGCAGGATTCCTAAAAGTTGAAGTTAATTGCCTCCAGGGACTCTGATTCCTACTTCCAAAGGAAAAGAGAATGATAGCAGTGTTGCTCACGAAACCTTCTTTCTCTAACAGAAATCATAGCTAATTCCATACTAAACTTTTGTCATTGAGTGGATTCTGACTAATGGCGACCTTATGTGTTACAGAGTAGAACTCGGCACACAGGATTTCCAATGGTTGTAAGCTTACAGGAAGGTCCCTGAGTGGCACAAACAGTTTGCACGTGACTATCCTGAAGGCTGGCAGTATGAACGCTTTCAGTGGCACTGCAGAAGAAAGGCTTGTTGATCTGCTCCCGTAAAGTCTACAGCTAAGAAAACCCTATGGAACAGTTCTACTATATAAACATGCAGTCACCATGAGTCAGAACTGATTCAACAGCAATGAGTTTGGTTTTTTGGTTTCAATTTCATGGAAGCAAATTGCCAGGCCTTTCTTTTGTGGCACTGCTGCATGGATTCAAACAACAATATTTTCTTGAGATATTCATTTGATAGCCTTTCGGGGATAATTTAGACTTGTCTCCATTATACCTAGACTTAAAATGAGTTTGAAAAGCTTAAAAGAGTAAAGATGCCAAGAATTAACCATTCCACCCAAGCATCCTAATTTATATAGAGACATGCCTTGTATATTATTCAATTATTATTAAATCACCTCTTCTTTAAAGGATATGACTAACTAAAGCACTTGACAGGAGGCGGGGCCAAGATGGTGGAGTACTCAGACACTTCCGGTGGACGCTCTTACAACAAAGACCCGAAAAAACAAGTGATTCGATTATATATGGCAATCTGGGAGACCTGAACATCAAAGGCAGAGCTGAGGAACTGGACTGAGTGGCAGGGGAAAGGAGAGATGGTTGGAAAGCAGCGAGGAGTTGCCAGACCCGACCCGGCGAGAGCCTGAGCCGTTCAGGCCTGATAAGCTCGGGGATGAGCAGTAGGGCAGGCAAGCATCGGTGCTCGGGAGATGTATTCCGCACCAGGAGAGACCCAGCCGCTGGGAGTCTACTCGGCCACGCAGAACCAGTGAGAAGCATCCCTCGAGGAAAGATAAGTACTTGCATACAGCTTACTGTGCGGATCAGAAACACCCGCCTTAGGGAGAAACCTCTCTTCCATTTACCTCCCTGCTACCTGCTCTGAACTGGGTCCTGGACTGGCTTCAGCAACTGCCGAGTCCCCTAGGCCAGAAGTAGGATCCGTCACATGCCCGGAGCCATTCTCCCTGCCTTGGAGAATGAACAAATTCACAAACAGGTGAAAAAATAAACTGCTGGCTCCCCTAAGCCAGGAACCCAGGGTAGGCACAGCTCCTTTGCCTAGGCACAGGCATAAGGGATCCACGGACATTGGATGCCTTTCCCCCTACATAGACTTGTGTGGGCCCATCTCAACAGTGTAGCCCCTCATTACCGCAGTACAACAGGGTATATACAGGAACTCTAACTTCAACTATTTCAGCTGTGCAGTGGCAGGTTCTTGACATTTGACACTGCTCTGCCCATTAAGCAGGGTTTTCACCTACACACATCAGGGTCTTGAGGACTGGTGGCTCCACCCACGCCACTGAGCCACCTGTGATAGAAGCCCATGGATAAGAGGTACCCACCAGTTCTTACAGGCAACACCATTAGCTGCTCAAAGTCTGGCTGCAAAACCCACCCACCAACGTGCTCTAGGGAACAGGAACAAACCTCCCTCCTGGACACTTGGGGGTGGCCGTCAGGCCCCTGCCTTGCTCAGAGTGTGTCCCCCTGCTAAAACCAGATGTCTGTGCCTACAACAATCACCTATGCCTGTTTAGGACTGAAAGTGAGAGCCTACACCACAAACTTGATGGCTATCTATCTGGGGACCTGAGCTGAATCCATATAGGCGGAATGGGCAGACTCCTGAGCTCACATACCTAGTAACATATCTAACCACCAGGTGACAGAACATTAGAGTTTCAAAGGTGCCAATAATCAAACTAGCTCATATGAGCAGCCTATTTGGGCATATCAAAACAAAACAAGAAGCTAGGACATAGTAAGCAAACATAAAATAAATAAATATAATAACTTATTGATAGCTCAGAGAAAACAGTCAACATTAAATCACATAAAGAGGCAATTCACGATGGTTTCAGCAAGCTCCCAAAATAAAGAATGTAGAAATTATCCAGAGGAGGAAAATTTCTTGGAATTACCAGAGGCAGAATCCAAAATATTAACATACAGAACTCTTCAAGAAATTAGGAAGGAAATTAAGCAAAATGCAGAACTCAGAACAGAGGAAATTAAAAAGATTAGAGAAGAGCATAATGACAAATTTAACAGGCTGCCAAGAATCCATAGACAGACAGCAATCAGAAATCCAGAAGATGAACAATAAAATGTCAGATTTAGACAACTCAATAGAAAGTCATAGGAGCAGAATTGAGGCAACGGAAGTCAGAATCAGTGAGGCTATAGATAAAGCACTTAACACCAACTTATTTGAGAAAAAATCAGATAAAAGGTTTAGAAAAAGAAGAAACCCTAAGAATTATATGCGACTCTATCAAGAGGAATAATCTACAAGTGACTGGAGTACCAGAACGGGCGGTGGACAGAAAATCCAGAGAGAAATGTTGAAGATTTGTTGGCAGAAAACTTCCCTGATATCGTGAAAGATGACAAGATATCTATCCAAAATGTTCATCGAACCCCACATAAGGCAGATCCCAAAAGAAAGTCACCAAGACATAATCAAACTTGCCAAAACCAAAGATAAAGAGAGAATTTTAAGAGTGGCTAAGGATAAACAAAAAGTCATCTAAAAAGAAGAGTCAATAAGAATAAGCTCAGACTACTCAGCAGAAACCATGCAGGCAACAAGGCAATGGGACAACATATATAAAAACTTAAAG